AATATTGACAATCAGGGATACAATTTTTATCTTTAAGCTTATGCCTAGATCAAAAAAAGAATCAAAAACTCGTAAAGTTAAGTTTTACTTAACCCTAAGTCATTTCTCTGAATTGTTTAGATCCCCTATCTATGTTGCAAAATTCTAACAGAATATGCCAATTCTACCATGTTTTCTTGGTTAAGCTACTTGTTCTACAACACAACATGCAGAAGTCATAGTTCATGAGATATTTTTTTAACTTTCTTATCGTGTTTGATATAAAATAGATTACGATTAGAATATGAACACATCAACATAAAAAATTTATGCATCAAAAAGGCATCGAAAGAAAAAAGAAAATCCAAGGAATGAAAACCACAAGAAAACTTCAAAACTTACATCACAAAAATACGAAAACAGGGTTACTTACAATTCATGAAATAATAAAACATCAATACATGATATTGCAGGAATAAAAAAAAGGAACAACACAAGAGATATAAAAAAACTCTTGCCGAGCAAATCGGTCTTTGCAATACACCATGATTCTGCATTCAATATAAATTATTTGACAATCTCATCTCATACAAATGCACTCAGCCTCTCTCACAACTCATCGAAACCTCAATAAATCACATGAAAATAGAAAGTAAAAAAAACTACCATAGAAGTTCTCAAATTCAAGGAAGAAGAAGAGAACTCTAGTGTTTACATTCAAACCCTCTAATCTCTGCTTCCATCCATCTCTAATGATCAAGCTCCCTCTGAAGATGCCTTAAATCTATTTTTATATCCTTGATCTCATATTTAGCAAGAAATTTCTTCCGAATATTATTTCTTGCTTCGTCGACGTGGTCATGCCCAAACCCAATGTGGTTATGCCCGAAATTCTGACACATCTGAAACAAGCATGATCATGCCTAGATTGGGTGTGGTCACACCAAGATCTGGCATGGTCACCCTGTTTAACACCATTTCATGTAGTTTGACTTCATTTTGCATGCTCGAAACATATAACATACAAAATACCACAAAGAACCTTCCAAAAGCATAAAATCTTGATAAATGATGAATAAAACATGGTATTTAAGGCATGAAAAATATGCAAATTTACTTCATATCGCTTGTGTGTTGACTGAATTATTTTGTGTGGTATGACTAGCTAAGTGCATGATTTTACCTGAATGTTACAGAACAAGACCCTATAATATATGATTATATAAATTATGTGAGCACCATAGCACCAACTTGACTTTTTATGATAACATCATACTTAATAACACTAAGGCGGCAAAGTGCTATAACACCTCAGTGTTGATCAAACTGCAATGTTATGTGGATTTTGGCATCACTAGAACTGGTTATGAAAATTAACAAGCACCATAGACCGGACATTTTAGGTATGAATTAATGGTTAATATCAAGTTGTTTAACCAAATCCAGACTCAGCACCATAGTGCGATCCTTTAAGTTTGTAGTGCCACAAGACAGAGAGCTCAACGCCTAGGAGTCATCCATGCAACATCATGGTGCCAATTCATTTATAAAAAGGTTTGGCTTCTGATGCAGTGGATTTGTGTATGCTATTTCTACAAATATTTTTTAATATTACAAAATACATACAACAATTATAATAATAAATATGTAATATAAACTCAACAAAAGTAAGTTTAACTAACTTTAATGAAAAAAAATCTTTTAAAAATCTTTATACTGCCAAATCCCCTAATAATAATGCAAATATTAATGAATTTCCAGGTGATTTAATCATACTCTCCAACTTTACATTTCTTATTTATTCATTTTGACCATTTAGGGTATTTCTGTAATTTTTTTTCAATTTTAGAAACTTTTAATCAAATTTCACATAAATTCTCATATAATTTTAATAAAAAAACGAAATAGAATATTCAAATACGTGATTTACATGTCTTTAGATAACAATTTTACCTAATTACTCAAGCGGTATCTTTTAATATTCCAATTCATCAACAATTCAAATATTGTGTTTATACCCTTTTTAATGTTTTATCAATCCACTTAAAAATAGTTGATTAAATTGAAATGTTTAAACATTTTAATGAAGTTATCTTAAAATTTTCACCAGTTAATTCTCTATTTTAAGTTGTTTTTAGTTAAGAATTGGTTAAAAGTGTAAATAACATATTTATAAATATACCCTTATTAAAGAAAATTGAAATAAATACTTATTGATCCACCAATATTGTCATCCAACTGTATCAAAAGATAATTCAAATTAACCAATCAAACCATTATTTCTGACCATAATTTCTTGAAGGATATATTAAATGATACTTTTACATACATATAACCCCCAAACTTTTGTCAAAAAATAAACAAGGGTTAATTTAATTGTTTCATATCATCATTTATGGAATTTAAATAATTTTTAAGAGAATTACATACAAAGGTGATATGATAAGCATGCAAACTTTTTATTTAGTACATAATAAAATGAGATTTTTAACAAGTTTATCAACCCAAAATAGCTATAATTAATATTGTCAGCACTAAAAAGATTAATCCTTTTACGAATCTTATTAGTAATGCTAGCCTAATTATTTTTTTTATCTTTATATTTTGAGGTATTTCTGTTCAATACAGACTGACAAATAAATAAAGAAAACTAGAAGGATATGTAGGATTTTTGGTTATATTAGTAAAGTTAAATCATTAGTGGAGTCAATACAACATACAATTTAATAGCACTAATAAAGAACGCGACAATGTGAACAAAGACCTTTCTTGATCTATCACAAAAGAGAAAACAAACTTGTTTACTAATTTTGAATCATGCATAATTTGATTTCGCCAACATATTAGTGAAACCACCCTAATCCTTATGATGTCATCAACTAAAATATTTAAAGAAACACTACATTAAAAAGGGAATATAAAAAAGGATGATAGAATTCTAAATATTTTGGGGGACAAATCAAAATTTAGTGTCTAATACTCCTCTATTGTCTTTGAAGGAAAATGTACTGTAGATTCCATCCATCTAGAAAATAGCATTGTTGATTTTAGAATTAAAGAGAGTATGTAAAAACATAATGACTAAATTAAGAGACAAGATGCTATGCAAATTACTGTCATTCCACTCATTGGGTAGCTGATAAAAAGATTCATATCATGCATCATTTTGTGATCAATTAAAGGAAAAAAAAAAGAAAAAAAAAAGGGAAAAATTCATAAATACAGGATGAGGGGGAAGAAAAGATTATAATGATGATGACTAGCTAAAGGTGCATACATAAATAAGAGAGAGAGAGTGTGTGTGTGAATATGTGGATGAGAGAGAGAGATAGAGAGCTACAAATACTATTGCATATGTTACTCAAAGAAGAAAACCTGTAGTAGCAAGATAGCTGCTAACTTCCATTTTCTTCTTCTTCCTCTCCATGGCTTTCTTGGTAGAGAAATCATGTAGTGATGTGGTAGTCTCTGTGAACTCTCACAAGCCAATTCCAGCACCATTCCTCACCAAAACCTACCAACTTGTTGACGATCCATCTACTGATCACATTGTCTCTTGGGGAGAAGATAACAACACATTCATAGTATGGAGACCTCCAGATTTTGCAAAAGATCTCCTTCCCAAATACTTCAAACACAACAACTTCTCTAGCTTTGTGAGGCAGCTCAACACCTATGTATGCAGAATAAGATCTATTCCCATTATCTCTTGTTTTTGCTTCTTTCATTTGAGTCCCAAAAAACAAAAAAAAAACAATCTTTTTTTTTTCTGTTATGTTTTATCAGTGGAGCTTTTTTCTAGTCTTTTCTTTCTTATATTGATTTGATAGTCTGAATAGGGAAAGAGTGTATCCATAACTCTCTTCGTATAACACTTCATTGCTCACCTTTCTCCACGCTTGAACACTAGTTTCTTTATAATCCTTGACCCCCTTTATTTTACAGGCCAAAAATCTTTTATTAAGAGTTCCTCATAAAGTTTTTTTGAGAAAAGGCTCACATTATACTTTATAAATTTTATTTTCTTAATAATATTCTTCTACCCACTGAAAATAAAAAAAAAATGTGATTTTTTTCATTTTTCATAGGATAGATTTCAGATTTCTTAGGAACAAGTCTTCACTGATAACTTTCTCCTGAAGTTGACAATGAATCTTAATTTATGGTGTAAAAAGGATAATGAAAGCATGAAGTTATTTTCTTTTTTAAACAAAATTTACAGATCTTATCTTTTGGAAGTTCCATTAAGGAATTCCCTGCAGAATTCGTGTCCTTTTTCCTCTTATGAGTTTAAAGTCCCTATGGGAAAGCTTTGTGATGAGCACAAATCAAAATGTAGGATAGAAGAAGTTTAGGACTCCATTAATTATTGTAGTTTTTATCTGAAAGCTCTTGTAGGATTTCCATTTCTGTGAAAGCTTACTACAATGCAAAGCAAAAGAAATTCCTTATTAATATAATTGAAAAATAGATAGAGTTCCACTAAGAAGTTTATTATAAGGAAGTCCTTTTACCACCTTTTTTTTTGTTTGAGTTGATATAGGGAAGAAAGATTAGGTCCCATGTCTAACATAGAATAGCGTCCACATGTATGAACCAACCTCATCAAACCATAAATTAAGTTAAAAACTCCAAGTTGTGATTCTCAAAATTTGAGCCTGAAATAGTGACCCAACCCAAAATTAATATTAAGGCATATTTTTTTTATTTATATCGCCTGTTATTGGATGAAACAAATGAAAATTTTCATGATATAGGATTAAAGGACAAAAATGTTGTTTTCATTTTCTGCTTATTTTATGATTCAGTGGGAGCGGTCCACACATGGCTTCACGTAATTGATGTCCGGAAGTAGAACATTTTACTTCCGGACAACCGAAGTAATATTTCTTTGTGCTTCAGTAACATAAATCTCTATCAATATTGATAGAGATTTGTAGACACTGAGCAATACTTATGTCATAAATCTTATCCTTACAACTATTTGAGGTAGTTTTTACTAATCTCACTTCAATTTTTTAAATAAATGGTAGCTAAAGAAAATGAAACCTTTTTTATATTACTATCTCTTTATCTTCTCAGGGATTCAGAAAGATAGTTGCAGAGAGGTGGGAGTTTGCAAATGAGTTCTTCAAAAAAGGAGAGAAACATCTACTCTTAGAAATCCACAGGAGAAAGACCAATCATTTTCATCATCATCAAAAACATAATTACTTCCATTACTCATCACCATCTTTGCAATGCTACACAGAATTCATCAGCCAGGAGGAGCCGCCACCCCCGCCGGCGGTGCTCGCCACCACCCTCGACAGCACCGGTTTCCTCTCGGCCCTCTCGGAGGACAACCTTAGGTTGAGGAGGAGGAACTCTCTCCTCCTCTCAGAGCTCACTCATTTGAAGAAGCTCTATAGTGATATCATTCATTTCCTACAGCATCATGTAAGCACAGTGCACACATACAGGTATGTGCGTTAAAGAACTGAATATGGATGATAAGGCTGGGAAAATAATGATTAAAAAAATATGTTTATGGTCAACTTGAAATCATGTATGGAGTTGAGCATGAAAAAATTTAAGTTCATTTAAGTTCTTTAATGAGCTAATTTTTTCATGTATGTCTCACTATATAGAAAATATTGATTACTATTTTTTCTTAATACATCATTTTCGAAGAATTATATCATTTAATCTTATTATAGCCAACTTATCACGGGAAAATTATCAACAAAGTTAAGTTCATTAACGAGCTGAGATAGTTTGGCTAATGTTTTATGGTGCGTTAGGAGCAGCTTGTGTATTTTAGGATAAACAAATTATCTTGAAATGCGGCCTACTTTTAGTATAAAAATGGAACCGCATTTTCGGATAAACGTGCAAAATACGTGATTCAAACGGTACCGTGACATTTTCAAAAACACCTTCGCACTTATAAGCTGCTCCAAACTGGCCCTTAGTTATTTATCATCATTGCATTAAAAAAAAATCAGTAGATACAATATTTCATATTGACTAAATTTCTAGATGTTTTTCGTATCGTCCAAAAAAAAATCTGAATGATTAAGATTTAAAATAACTGAAGTCATTGGTAACATAAATAATGACTAAAATTCTTTGTTAAGCAATTTTCATTTTAACTATTAAAAATTTTCATAGATTTCAATAAAATATAGAAAGAGAAGTTGAAATATTTTGTTAACTTAAGCTTAATTATCAAATCAAATACTTATTATTTATAAAAATCAAGCTTTTTTTGAGGCTGCTGTGTCAACATACAGGCATGGAATGCTCATAGAAATGGCTACAGAAGAACAGCCTCAGTGCTCATTAACCATTAAAGGAGAGGAGGAAGATGAGGAGGACGGACATGACTGTGCTGTTAAACTCTTTGGTGTTCCAATTTATGGCAAAGAGCTATGAGGCATTGAAAGCAAGTGGTTGATAAAGTGAAGTAGCAGTAAAAGAAGTTAATTTAAGTTTTGTGTGAATAAGCCTTAGCTTGTAGCTCTCTTGTTAGCTCCTGCTGATTCAGACTAGTACTTATTTGCTGAAGTTAATCCAATTTGATTTAGTTTATTCATTAGTGCTTAGTTTTGTTATATTTAAAACATTAATATATATATATATATATATATAAGTCTATGTAACAAACATATCCTTATTACAAATTTATTTTAGATGAGTCGTGGCGCATCATTAGTAATTTTTTTAATTTTATTGTAAATATACTTATTATAAATAATATTATTATAAGTAATATTATATATTATTATAAATATTATTGTTATTTACATAAATAAAATTATTAAAATTAATTTTCAATTATTCAAAAAATATAATTGAACAAATTAAATAACAAACAAAATATAAAATTCATAAAATTTATATCATAATTAAATAGTTTTGTAACATAATATTTACAAAAAAAAATACTATCTTTTACGTCATGGTGGAATAACGTTGAGCATGGTGTATATCGAGATTGTGGTCGCAGTAGTTGGTACTACAATTAATGTATTTGAAATTCCTCTTCGACGTTATGTATTGGTCAACACAACACTGGGCCAATAACATTAGGTGCTACTAAAGCATTTCCATTTATACTAATGCCGATGAGTATTTGAATGTCTTGTAGAGCTACAACTATTTCACATGATAGATATGTGCGATGTATAAGTAAGAAAAGTAAAATTATTACAGTAATATGTAAATGTGAAAGTAAATTTTTCTTACCAATATGCAAATGAAACGCATTGGTCAGGGGACATCACCTCTCGATTAGTGCATTTATAAAATGGTGGTCTAATTTGATGTAGCTTAAGTGCACGATACATTTGAAACCTGTAATTTGGATTGCATAGATAAATCATGGGCACTCGACTTATCATTCTCTTAACACTAGTGCATAACTCGCAACTTAAAAAATGTTGTCCTACCAAAATTAAATTAAATTAGTTTTGATATTGATTTCACATGAAATTAAATAATACGAGTGATAATTTTGAATTTTATTATCAGTTTTTTTTCGTGATATGCTTCACCCAATGATTCAATACTTGAAAGTAAGAATGTTTGTTTCGAAGTGGACTTCTACCATGGTGGTAGTGGCAAACCGAACCTGCTGCCTTGGCCATCTCTATTGAAATAATTGTAGTGTTAATAAATAAAAGGTCAAATGTGTTACTAAAAGATACATACATAAAAGGAATTTTAACTTAAAATTTATGCTAATTACGGTATGTTATTTTAACATGCTAGTACTTGGATTAGAGGAACAAGTTGCTCGATTATTGACCCGACCCATAATTATGCAATTATTTAAGTCCTGAAAATGGTCAAAAGTTTGATCCAATTTATATTAAATGACTAATGTGCAAAATTAAATATTATATAAAATTGATAAAATGTCTTACACACTAGGGGTACTACACAAGTATATGTTTCAAGTAATATATTTCTCTAATGGAGTCCTAAGTATCGATCCCACGGGGATTGACAAAAGTTTTATAAGGTTGACTTTAGTAAAATCTTCTCTAAACTACGATTAACTTTTTTAGAAAATGGTAAAAAGTTTTTGTGAAATAACTAATCCTACATAACTTTAAAAGGAATGCTAAGTATGCTAAGCAAATGCAAAATACAAATGCTAAGACAAATACTAAGTAAAATGCTAAATACAAGACAATTTAACAGGCTAAATAAAATGTAAAGTTACTGATCTAACCCACAATTATGCAGTAATTTTAGTTCAGAAATATATCTAAAAGATTGACCCAATTTATATTTTAGCGACTAGTGTGCAAAATTAAATATTATATTAAGTTGATACATCGGTTTACACACAAGAGATACTACACAAGTATACATATCATTTCAAGTAATATAGGACTCTAATGGAGTCCTAAGTATCGATCCTACAGAAATATGCAAAACTCTTATAGGATTATTTTAGAAAAACTTTCTTTAAACTGTAGTTAACTTACATAGAAAATGATAAAAAAGTTTTTGTGTATTACATAATCCTATAGAATTAAAAGGAATGCTAAGTATGCTAAGAAAATGCAGAATGTAAATGAAAGATAATGTACACAGGCTAAAATGTAAAGTTGCCACTAAGAAATTATAAACTAACAATGTATAGAAGTGCTTAAATTTGTATAAAATATTTTTCCCCTTGCAATGAGTTTATAATCATTTTAGGAATTAGATAATTTTAAATATAATTAATGTATTGTGTCAAATAGGAGCATTCTTATTCTTTACTCTCTCTCGAATACATAAAGAACATTGGTTAATCCAGATTTTAGTCCCTAAACCCGTGGTTAGGCTGGAAAAATACTAGCTCTCACTGTCGAGTTCCCACTTACCCCTCACCTAAAGGCTAAAATCTCACTTTAGTTTGCAAACATCAGGACCAAATTAGAAATTTTAGTCTATTACTCTAAAACCTTCAATTCTACGCCCATTAACATTTATTTCCCTATTTATTTATACTTCTCCTCGGACAATTGCAATGACTCTATCCAAAGTTAAGTGAGGTACTCACTAGTTCGGTGAAATTACAGCTCTTTCGGGTCACTATGTTTTGCAACAGATTTTAACATTACAAGTGATCAGTTTATAAAGTAAATTAAGAGCCGGTGAAGATACCATCACATTAATAAAATAAGAGAATATCTAAGGATTCTTGAACATGCATCTAGTTTATTGCAAAAAAAAAGTAAAATGAAGATGATGATATAAGCAGTACAAGCATTGATAGAATTGTGTAATAAATTATGTGCCAACAAGAAATATATGTCTACCTACCCTCCTTCGAGTGTATAGATATGCTTAGTATTCTATTAGTTTTATGCAACTATCTGTCACCTAGAAGCATCTAATAGAAACATATCATCTTTAAAAGTTACATTATTGTCTAAACTATTTTACTACCAAACCAGTTAATGTAAGTGCACTCAAGTTGTAAGATCACTGCTCTCCCGAGTCTTAGTTTCACTTACAAAATTTTTTAACATAATCTATTGTCACTTAAGTTATGTCAATGAAACAAAAATGAAGTCAATGAAACAAAGAATATATTACTCATCACATGAAAATAAGAATTACTTTATCATAAAATAAATTTTTCTACACATGTTATTACTTCATATTAAAAGATAAGAGTAAAGAAACTACTCACAAAGCATGGATAAAACAAAATAGAAAACTTTGTTAAATCAAAACAAATCCACTAGAAAGTGTTTACCACAATTACAAAATAATGAAAAACACAATACATAGCTTTTTTTCCTCTGAAAGAAAAATGAAAATCTCTCCAACAAAGTTTCTTGCCGATCCATGCTCCGTTCACACAATTTATTTATACATATCTCTCAAAATCCCTCTTCAATCTCTCCAGATATGGTGGAAATCTACATTTTCATCTCCTCTTTACACTCACACTAAAACTCTCTCCAAAATCCCCCCTTCTAGACTCCTCCTAAGAGGCACTAAGCCCCTCTTGTTAAAGAGACACAAAACACTTCTTTATTCTAAGAGACACACGTCTTCACTCTAAGAGACACACCTCTTCACTCCACAAGACGCACCTATTCACCTCAAGAGTCACATCACTTAATCTAAAAGCCTTTTTGAGTGCCTAAATTCATTTAACTACTCCATGGGGTGTGCAAGTTGTTAAGAATCTTCCAGAGCATCCCAAAATAGCCCAAAATCACCCAAAAACCGCCCCTTAACAGTTTTGGGCGCCTAGGCATCGTTTTCTCTATTTGTCAGTGCCTAAGTGCTAGTTTCGGGTGTCTAGTGCCTAGGCAACTCCACTGTTTTACCCAGTTTTGATCCGTTTAAGCTCCGTTTCAACTCCGTTTCGCTCCAAATTGATATACCTACAAGATAAGCATGAAAATATCATTTCTTTAAAGTTTAATTTCATTCAAAAATATGTTCATTTCTTTAAAGTTTAATTTCAATCAAAAATATGTGATAAATGTATAGGAGATTAAGCATAGAAAGACATATCAAAATGTGTCAGATCATAATTTTCTTCCTCGGTCGTTTTGACTTCAAATTGCACTATTTTTGCTTCATTTTCTCCAAAAGTCAATTTTCTTGTACCTGAAATCAAAAAAATGCAAAAAAAATTCCTTTAAAGTGTAATATCATTAAAAATAAGCATGAAAAATTAGTCATTTCTTAGGCATATCACTAGACCTTCAACCGTCTCAACCGAGGGTTGAGTATTTGGGCTTAACCTCAGGAAACCCTAAGTGTGTGTAAGATTGGTTCAAAGTTCTATATGGGTGATTCTATCTCCAGTCATCTAAGAAGGTCACTAAGAAACCCTAAGGCCAAATACTAGGTTTCTATATAGAGGGAAAGATCACAAAAGTGAGGTCAACATTTGTATCATGTTAGACTGTATATTTTATATATGTTAGGATGTTTTTTACTTTCTTATACATAAGATTCACTCATACATTTATAATATTTACCATTACTTAAGAATTTAACTGTATTTTCACAATACTCTCTGGGAGACTATGTGTTATCACATTTATATAGAGAGTCACAACAATCCACAAAGCCTACCCGTATTAAAGTAGATGGATGTTTACACTTGCTATAAGTGTGGTGCTGGGAGCATTTGCATTTTGACATATCTATTCTCTATGTTCCTACTTTTGTTGGTTTATCTCACAAGCCATTAGGATTCATGTATATTTTATGGAAACTAATAATATTATAAAACCTGTCTGAAAATTTTGTAATAATAGTGTATGTACTATATAGATGAAACGAGGATAGAGTACAAGAAGTGCATCAAAGAAATTTGCAAATATATAGAGACGATATTGATGGATTAATGCAAAGTCATATATATTTATTTTCATATAAGTTATATATATATATATATATATATAATTTTATGTTATTTATATGTTTTATAATTAATCATAAGATCTATGCAAACAGATTATTTGTGCACCATATCTTGATGGTATCACAGTGTGGTTACCTGAGTTTTTTCTTGACAATATGAAAGTTTAGACTACTTTTATTCCTCTTATTTGTTGGAAGCGTGTGGAGCGGCATCTTCCAAATGGAGTAACATGATAGTTTTCTTCAGTGCAATCTATAATAATTGATTCTATAGATAGATCATTTCAGAGGGCCTATGGCCTAAAGAAATTGGACAGAGACTCGATTCATTGTTATCAAAATTATTACTTTGTGGAACAACCGTTTGCCCCTTGTATTACTATTGAACCCACCTTCAGACAATGAAAGTGTTGAACATTACTTATAGTGGTATGGATTATGAGCTTCGATCTACCTAGTTCAACTATCTATTGAACCCCCATATACTTACTACCCCATGTCATCCGGAGAGTTATTAATGACAAGTAAATAGTTTATAATTATTTTATACATACTTTTGCTTATACCTCATCTTGATTTAAATAATTATGAACATATATAGGTTAATTATTACATTCGATCTAGGGGCCTTGTTAGAAGATTCGTTGGTGGCCATGGTGAAGATGTTATGTTAATGGAAAAAGCTTACGATGTACTCATAGAGCTTTCTAATAAAGTCGATCAATCACTCTATAATGATTATGCCGCGTTCGACCAACCAACGCAACAAACTGCTCGAACATTAACTTCAGACATCTCATGATGTCATCCTTACGATGTACTCATAGAGCTTTCTAATAGAGTCGATCAATCACTCTATAATGATTATGCTGCGTTCGACCAACCAACACAACAAACTTCTCGAACATTAACTTCAGACATCTCATGATGTCATCAACAAACTATTCAAGAGGATCACTTCTAGATGCTCCGAGCAGAACTTTTGCTTATGCTTGATCCACAACATATGCATGACTCAACATATTTAGGACCTTCAACACACATGAGTGCCCATATTATGCTCTGCATTGAACTGCTTCTGAGGATGAACATTTTAATCTAAAATTTCATTTGAGACATTTACGACGGACCACCACTCCACATGTAACAGGAGAGTCAAATTTTCACATCAACTGGTGAAGAGATAGAAGAAGAGGATGAAGAGGAACATTTATTACGAGAGTGACCACTCTGAGCGCCACCAAGATATACTCCAAGATGAAGTGCTCTTCGATCATGATGAAGATGATAAATTTTGTGTTATTTTTATAATTATTGTGCTGTCAACTATTATTTCAATGAAACTTTAAATTATTTCAAAAATGTGTTGTTTAAAAAATTTAATTTTGAATGTTGAAATTTAATAAATAGTAAATTATTTAATTATCATTTAGATTAATTTCAATGCTATCTAAAAAAGTAATTCTTATTTCTTCAATTAGCTTAATTTTATAATTTTTTTAACTTAAAAAATTCTTTATATCAAATTTTTTAACTTAAATAAATAAATAAAATATTGTCTAAAAGTTATGTTACATATAATTAATTAATTAATATAATCACTTAATAATTTAATTTAATTAATGCATATAATTCTAGATTTCTTAATATTAATTCCCCATAATTTACATCGTTTTATAAATAAGATTTTAAACTTAAGAGCTTATTTATTATAATTCATTAAATAAATAATCTATTTAAAATACTATGAAGAATAATTTATGATAATTTACATTTTTTAAAATTATTATTAATTAAAATATTATCATTTTAATATTGAATTTTTTTTTATTTTAAGATTTTATCATGGTATTTTAATATTTTATTAAAATGTTATTTCAATTATTTCACAGTAATATAAAAAAGTTATAAAGAGAAGAGGACTAGATGGAAAAACTTTGAATACGTCTATATGAATTTTAATATTTTAATATAAATGTGGGATTAAAATTTCCTATTTTATTGAAATTATTTAAATAATAAAAATGTGGGATCAATTCACATTTAATAAAAATGGATTAATCCCAAGTTTAATTATTTTTTTTAAATTTAAAATGCCACTTTTGAGACCTTTTTTATATAAAAATAAAATCAGGTCCCTTTTAACAAAATAATTTATTAAGCTTTCTCTTTTGAAAAATTATCCCATGTCCCTTTAAATTAAAAGGATATTTATATATCTATCACCCAATTCCTATGTATTATCATATCAACCATTTAGGGGATGTTTGGTAGGGCCCTATTAAGATTTATGGTTAAACTTACTAAATCCATCCAAACGTAAAACAACTCAAAAGTTTTATGGATTTATGGTAATTTTGAATGTAAGGCCTGAATTTTACCTTTGATTCATATTAAATTCAAATTTTACAAATCCAACAAGAAAGTAAATTTAATAAATCAGAAATAACTTAAGCGTACTAAGAGTGCATTTGAGGCGGCTCTGCGTGAATACGCACATTAGTTTTTCTAGTTTGTCAAAATTGTGTTTTTTTTGCATTCTCAAAAAGCTGCAACTGAAATCAACATTTTCCCACAAAACTAGTGCTAGAAAGTTATAATTTTTTGAACAACTTATTCATCAACCGTCTAGGAGTTACTTTTTTTTTTAATAATTTTATAACGGCTACAACTAATTCTAAATTCTGAATGAAAAACATCTTAAAAACTTTTTGTGTGATTGATAGAATAATACATAAAAATTAGGAGGTAATTAGAATCACAAACCTCTAAACCCCTTGCGCTCTCCTCCCGAACGCTACATCATCCTTCCCGCTCTGTCCCAAACCCTCTCCCTCCCCCGTCTACCGCTTTCGCTCAAAATCATCGCCCTTCGTGTCCGAACCTTCGCGATACAGAAGCTAGATCTAGCTTGGAAGGCAACGTTGAAACCGCGGCGTACAGAGACCAACGAAACTCCTATCTTTCTTCTCCTGCTCCTACCCGAGACAATTGAGGAAGGTAACTCCAAATCGTCCTTTTCGCGCGGCGCGCGAGTTCTAAGTAAATCTGGGGATTTACTGCCGAAATCGCTGAAATTCGGATTTAATAAATCCGCGGCTTTATTTTGTTTAAACTGACCGTTTGGCGAGATTTTTTTTAAATCTATGTTGAGTCCTGCTCTAAATTTGTTAGCGGACAGCTTCTTACTAAATCCACGGTTTGAGGTAAAACGGAAAAGAAACGGGATTTGATATTCTGAAGGATTTAAAGTTGTCATTTTTTCTGTCTGGCAGTGTTTTGGTTAAATTCTGCTCAAATCCTGTTCAGTTCATGCCACCAAACATTCCATAGCCCAATCTTGCTTCTCCACCCCAACCTCTCTATGGACAACATTATCTCCGATGCGCTTGAGGAGGTTTGCGTGAGGGGAGCCTCTGGAATTCGCCTCCTAGAATTGTGGCCAACTTTGCAGGCATCTGTTTCTTCCTCCAACTTGGAGCTCTCTGATTGTGTCAAGAAAGTTATATGGGGTCGTCTCGCTTCACATCCTGGTCTCGGTTTCATGGTCTCTGGTTCTTCCATGGAACGGAAGGATGTTTTGCAAGGATCTATGGAGGAAATGGAGAAGATTGGGCTGACTATAGTTGCTGAGGAGCACCTGAGAGATAGCTTCATGGGGCTTTATGATCTGAAGCAATCACCACACTGTGAGATTTCACAGATCCAGAAACGTGTTTTGGAGAGGCTTGCAATGGCAAGGTTTAGTTGCTACCACTTTTTTTATTTGCTTTTCTTTTGAACGTTGGATAGCAGTAGTTCCAAGATTAAGCTTATGGTTGGTTTGGAGGCTATGTAGTTTTACCTTTCAAGGAGGCTATGTAGTTTTACAGAAATTTTATGGGCTGAGTATGGCTGCTTTGGAAAGTTCCGCACATTAAAAGATTGATGCATTGTTTTATAAAATGTTATTTTTTATTAGAATTTCGGATCGATAAGATGATTAAGCTGCCATGCGATTGAAAAAAGCAATTCTACACTCATTTCATGTTCAAATGAATGCTTGTTAGGTTTCCTGTTGTGATATGTTGACACTATAGAAGACTATTTTGATGCCTAATGGCTGTTAATTCATTATAGGGGTTTCATTATTGATAAAATGATCATTTATTTGGCCACTTCTATAATCTTTGTTTAATTTTATATGAGTTTGGCTGATGTGACTAATTCATTATATCAATTTGCAGGACTACTGGAGTAACCCAAAACGAGCTCGCCAAAGAACTTGATATCAAAGGAACCAACTTCTATTATGTCGTGAGGAACCTTGTATGTCAACAGTTGATTGTTAAGCAGTCAACTATGGTTAGGGAAAAAGAATCCGCGCATGCGGAAAATGGGCCAAAAAATGATCAAATTGTAAATACTAATTTATTGCATTTGTCTCGTTATGCAAAAAATGTCAACTTGAATCCTCAACAAAGGATTGAAATCACTAGATCAGTTTGGCCTCCAATGCTGAATGAATCTGGGGATACAGAATTATGTACTGTTCCCATTGAAGGTTCTGAGGATTGTTTAAGAGAAGATGTGCACATAAAGGATTTTATACCAGCTATGAAAGCTATTTGTGATAAATTAGAAGCAACAAAAAATAAGGTCAGTTTACTTGTTTTGGTCGTAATCTCCATGGATTCAGCTGTTATGATTCTTATTTTATTTGCAATATGTCCCGCAAAAGGTTCATGTTGTTTCAAGCATAAAATTAGCTCTGGGTTATAGAAAGACAACTGGACATAGAGCATGGAGGAGTGTAAGTTGTTTATTTCACATTTAATGGTCATGCTTATTAGTCTCTATGGTGGCTTGATGTTACTTTGGACTCTTTTTTATTTGTTTTTGTCATTTTTCATGCAACAGATTTTATTTCGACTGAAGTGTGCCGGCTTCGTGGAAGAATTTCGAGCAGCAGTCAACGGGAAGGTTTTTTTTTTATTGCAACAAAACTGGTGCAAGCTGATTTGTTCTTTTTTCGACTTTGTTATTTGTTTTATTTAAAGCTTTTTTGAATGATTTCCTTATACAATTATTTCAGTTGGCGTGGAAAACTGACAATTTGAATATAAAATTTTTTCATTAAACTCTTGTTGCAGCTTTATAGATAGTTTCTAAGTTATTCGAGTTGATCTATTCCATAAATTACCATATAAATTATGCTATTACATAATTACTTAGGACTTTATATTGGGACATGGATACTGAATCCATGCATGGATATTAGGCTATGACATACCTTGATAGAAAATATGACATATTATTCCAAAGTTGATATAAATCATGCATTAAAAGCATGTATATAAATCAACGCCCATGAATCTCAAATTCTGCAAATTTTTATGCATAAAACATACCTAATTTTAGTATTTGCACAATAATACATTGCTAATTATTTTCCGAAGGATAAGTTGAATAAATTGTGAACAAGAATAGATAGTGTATGAACTATGCAAAATTCTGTTAAAATTACAATGCGGAGAACATTAATTGTAGAATAGAATATATAGATGGTACGAATTTCCATAAAGGTTAAGTATACAAAGATTAGGATCACTGTCACATGAGTTAGATGTGTTAGGTTCACATCTAGACTCATTAGAAGCATGCCCTTGTGCAAAATTTTGCTTTGAAAAATATTTGCTTCCACTAAGTTATCAAATATTGACATAAGATCAGTTTATGAGTGTTGATATGTTGAATCAATTTGCAATCCTAAGGAAAAGGGTCCATGTGGATGTTTTCAGAATGGTTGCACCAACATAGGCCCCCATCGATTTCTAAGTTATTAAGCATTTCCTATTTCAATCAAAATATCAATAATTAGTACACCATAACTCAAAACATGTTTTATTTGCATAATTATACTTGCCTGATGAATAACTAGACGGCTCTACAAGTAGAAACCATTTATTACTCCTATGTACATGCAAGATTAATTTAGCTCAATGGCTTTTCTTCATTTATTGTGCAATTAGTGGGCTCCACTCAATGCCCCCTTCTAAAAGCCTTATCAGCAGCCCAGCCATTCCTCATCAAAGGAATTTTAAGTCTGTCATCTTTAAGGAAATAAAAGTGGTAGAGCCTTTTCTTCTTTATAAATATTGCTCTCTTAAAAAGTTGACGAGCTTGTTGGTAGAAGTTGCTAAACATGGAATGAAGCAATGTTGAAGTTCCAAATTATGTATGGTGTATAAGTGCTGGTTTAGAACATTTTTTTTTTAAATGGATATGTTATTTTAATGACGTCTTCCATAGGGATCTAGTAGGTTTTATTTGTTGTGACTTATAAAGAGTATTAGGAAAAGATAAATGCTTGAGCTTTGATTTTTTAGATGTCTGGCTTGGAGTGATGCAAATGCGAAGTATTTTTTCAAAGGAATTTAGAATGACTCGATTCCTCATTTTTAATGATTTTGGAATTCCCTCAAATTAGGCAAAATTCTAAATTCTTTGTTCACGACCCTTTCTTTTCTGAAGTAACGTCCAACCCACATCCTCGTGGCCCAATTTGCCATCCTTGCTCTTATTGTCCCCATGTCCACCTTTGTTGTCGTCCTTGCATTCACATTCACTACTTTTCCTGTTGCTATTATTTTGATAGCCATCCCATGAAACTTGCATTGCTACCAAACACATTCGCCATCTTTACCATCACCTAAGCTCACTACTTCACCTCTTAGCATCTTGAATTAAAAAAAAAAATCAATATTAAAAGAATAAATTAAAATAACATATGTATATATATGTATATACATGTAGGTTTATGGAGATCTACTAGAGCTCAGGAGTCTTATGGATAATACTTTGGTTACTACGGGTAATGGTCAACACCTTACCAATCTGCTAGCTGAATCACTATCGAGAGCTAGAGCCAGAGACAAGACTAGATTGGGATGACTCACACTTTTTCAGTGCCTGGGTGGTTTTTGGGTTTTTTGATTTCTATATGTACCCATCTTTTATTTATATTTTCTGGTGTGTGTTTTACCGTGTGGGTTGGGTGTTTAGGCCCACCCATACAAACCTATCCGTATCTTTTTCTTTAATATATCAGCCCTTGGGTTTTTTTTTATAAAAGTTACATGTAGTTTTATGGATATATTTATATGTGCACAACATACATACATGCACATATTAATACAGATAATTAAGATTTATTTTGAGCCAATTGAACACAACACAAGTTTTCTGAAGTTATTTAACATCCAGTCAAACAACTTTGAGTATTACAAATGCACGCTTTTTAATGTCAATTGCATTCATATAAATGCATGAATCCTAGCAACTAAACGTTTCTCTAGTATTCTCAAACATAGGCTTATGCTACCTTTCTTGCATTGGTCGTGGAGGCTTCTATTGCCTCGGCAAATAGAATTTTGGCATCTGTATTAAGAAAGTTGGGCATGCTATTCTTAGCCTAATCTAGCGGACTCTTTTTTTTTTAATCCCCGATGCCCCTTTTGTAGGCTGCTTCTTGAATGCTGATCAAAGTTTCAGTAAATCAAGGAACTTATCTTAACCCTTATTAGCTTCCATCATACTTGGGTTAGGTTCACGTTTCTTGTAAGGGAGACCCTAGCATCTATGATATTTAAATTTATTCATTTATTAGCTTTGGAATAGTTTTTTGATTGGTTGTTGACCTAATATCAACTCCCAAACATTTCTCATATGCGCAACATATGATATTAGCTTTTAACCAGTCATCTATTCCTTACTTATTAACACACTTAAGATAAGTTGTAACACACTACTTATAAGAGATGCTCTTGATGGCTCTTGCCAACGTTGCTTGCTTTTCAAAACAATCTATTTAGTTGTGTTTCATCCCTTGTGAATGAAGAACTAGAAAATCTTTGTCAACTTCTCACCACAGAAGGGTTAAGTTATGGCACATTGCTTGTAATGATTACCCTAGCATTAACGATATTAATATTTAGTTTTTTTTTATTTTTTTTGTTTAGAAATAGTTTTACGGTTAGTTGTTGAACTATGAACTCGTAATCTTAATCTTAATAGTTTTATGAACAACAATTGTTATAGAGGTTCAAAATTGTTCAAAAAATTGTTCGGGATTATAATTTGGTATTCAACTTTAATCAAATGAAGTGATTGATCAAAGCCGATTTTACAATGGTCAATGCGACTTTGTAAGGTAACATGCTGTTACTTACACCATGTTCAACATAAGTATGTTATATGACAATAACTTTTAGAATCATTAAAAGTATGTTCAACAAAATATGTTATCTGATAAAAGCTTTTAGAATCATTGAAAATAGTAATGTTTAGAAACAAACATTTATAATCTGTATTTTAGTGAGTAACTATTTAAAAATAAAATTTAAAGTTTATGAAATCTTTGACTTATTACACATTACAAGTTAGAGAAAATTTTATAGATCCCACACATTATACAATGAAAATGTTCATAGTGGGTTTTGGAATATGGGCATTGACAAATCATGTTGGTATCAAAGAATTAATTTAAATTGCAATGAAGAGAGGCTCTGCATAAGTAATTTTATGTTCTTTGACATTTAATGAGAAATATAAAGAGACATGAAAGGACATTAATGTGTTTTCTTTTTTTAATTTTTTATTTTATTTTATTTTTATTTTTTTAAATGTTTGAATGGAAGACTAAGAGAATTGATTTGGTGGACTTTAAGAGGAGAAAAACATTTGACGTAATGTTGAAGTTACTTAAGATATGAATGATAGATAGAATAGTAAAACATTTGAAGCATTTGTTGGTTGAGTTAGCTGTTTCAGTCGTAGTAAGAATCATATGATAGATCAGCATTACTTTTTTTGTCTTTTTTTTTATTGGTTATGAGGGGATTGTGAAGGCATTCACAAAATTTTAAAAGAAAAACTTGGGAGTTGAGACATTTTATCTTGGTGAGGTAAGTTGTAAATGTATTGGCAAATTGAGGCATAAGCCTCAAATAATAAAAAAAAAGAACAGATAAAATTATAAATAATTCATGATGATGCTATAAACTATCGACATCTTAACTTAGTTCGTTATCTTACACCAAAAGTCACACGCTGAGAAAAGAAAATAAATCTTGATCTTAAATGATAAATCTAAAACAAAAGTGTTTAAAAAAATTAAGGCAAGCATCTTAGTCCTTAATTGTTGAATTTTTGCTCTAATAATAGCTAATAATTTAAGACACAGATCGAGACTTTGTTTCGTTTGATCTATTTCCTTATGAATCTCAGATAAGAAAAGAACTTAAGACACATGGATCGAGACTCTATACTATTAGATCTGTCCTTTATGATCAAGGAATTGTAATACGTTGCTTTCCTAAAAGATTATCTACCCTTATATATATATATATATATTGAATATACGGCGCGAGTGCTCTGCTAGGGTTTGGAGCTAAGGGCGATCTCGTGGTGATTCGGGGATGCTGACGGTGCTCGCTCGTTCTCAACAACCTCTCCCTGGTGAGATCTTTCTGGTTTTTTGGTTTTGTCCTCCCTCTCGCACTAAGTTTCTTCTCCCGATTTTTCCTTATCTTTTCAAGTATGGCTAAGACGTACGTCGGGGTCACTGCGGGGGCTTCTTCCCCTGGGTCTCCTTCGAAGTTTGCTTTCGCATCCTCCTTTCAGGAATCACTTGTTCTTGGTTGGGAATATAGTTTCATTAAATCTCAGGGTCGTAAGGGGGGAAATGTGCGCTCTGTCTCTTCGTTTCTGAAAACTCTATTCTCGCCTCTGCTTGTCGCTCTCATCTAGTTGGTAAATTTCTTTATGGACTTCCGAAATACGATTTTTTGATGAAGAACTTTGAGCTTCCGAAGTTATCGGGGGACTAGAAGATTGGGGATTTGGATAGCCGACATATTCTGATACAACTCTCTAACGAAGATGATTATGTTAAGATTTTTGCACGTAGAACTGTTCATTTT